CAGATACTATTATAAACACTTGATTTATATTTGTACCTAGAAAATCCAGTAGGATCATAAAAATAATTTTTTTCCTCCCTCAGGTTTATTTGTGCACACAACCCAGGAGGACACCAGTCCCTCGCAGAGAGCAGCCCAGGGGTCACCAGTCCTTCTGTCCTCATACTAGCAGAGGCCTCAACTGCAGAGCTTTTGTGTGGGGTTGGACACCTTTGAGAGCCTGAGCAGGAGCTGGAGCTGAAGATAGGGCTGCATTTGAGGCCTGGACCTTGGTTTGTGTCTTGGTCTGAGCCTTGGCCTTGGCCATTGCTTTGCTGGGCTTTGGCTGAGAGAGCCTGAGGCCCTTGGCGATACGAGTGCAAGCACATGTCCTGAGCTTAGGGTGGATGATGAAGGCAAGTCGACTGAGCTTGCGGCTTGCTGCCCTTTGGGGTGCCCTTCTGAACCTCTTTGGGCTTTACAAGGGCCTTGATGGCCTCTGCTCAGGCAGTCATGGCCCTGGCATTGTTGGCCTACATCTTCTTCAGACTCTTCCTGTTGTGCTTCTTGCCAAAGCACATGTTCCTCAGGACCTTGGGGTCCCCCCTTGAGAGATTCATGTCTTTGTTATCAGGGTTTCTTGATACCATTTCTGTGCCATTTTGGGGACTGGTTGTGTGTGGTTGGTTCTTGGACTTGGCCGTGTCTGCACTGAAACCCATGGCCTCTGAGGAGCCTGGGGCCAGAAGAGGAGGATCATAAAAATCTTTTTAAAAATACAGAGTTTAAGTTAGATTTCTGATGAAAATTAAAACAATAAGCATATGAAAAGATGTTCATCATCATCATCATCGGTCATTAAGGAAATGCGAATTCAAGCCACAATGATACACTAATGCATATCCATCCATTAGAATAGCTAAAATCTAAGTCTGGCCACACTGAGTATTGACAAGGGACATGGGAAAAACTGGAACTATCATTTACTGTTGGTGAGAATAGAAAATGAAACTGTCATTCTGGAAACTGTTTGGAAGATGTTTCTGAAGCCCCCTAGTACTGCCGAATCTTTGAAGTCATAGCCAACAGCACTAAAGAGTTTAACAAGTACCTCCCATCTGAACCAGCAATTCCACTTTATAGGTATGTACCCAAACAAATAAACCATATGTCCACACTGAGACTTACATATGAATGTATATAGCAGACTTATCTGTAATTGTTCCAAACCAGAAACAAATGAATGTTCATCAGTGCATAAATGGATATAATACGATGTCGATAGACTACTACACAGTATTAAAGAGGAATAAAAGGAATGAACTGTTGAAATATGAAACACACAGATCTCAAAATAATTCTGCTGAGAAGATAGACCCCCCAAAAAGTAAATACTTTATGATTCTATTAATTTAAAAAAAAAAAAAAACTAGAAAACACAAACCAATCTTCCAGAAAGGAGATGAATGATTACCTCAGGCCAAGGGCTAGTCCAGGAAGTGATGGATAACAAAGGGACATTAAGGAAGCTTTTGAGGGTGGTAAATATGCTTTTCATTTTAATTGTGGTGATTTTTTAAAGAATTAGTTTAATTTATTATTATTACTATTATTATTATTATTATTATATTATTTAATTTGACCAGAGAGAGAGAGAAAGTGAGAAAGCAAGCCACCAAGTCTGTGATTCAAACTGTGATCGGGCCTGTGGGAGTCTTCCACCTTAATCACTGTACCACCTGCAATCCTCTGTGGTGATTTTTTTAAATGTTTGCATGTGTCAAAACTCATCCAAATATACACTTTATATAAAGGCAGTGCATTGTATGTCCATTTTATCTTAAGAAAGCTGAAGATACACAGTAAGTAACCAAACAAATAAATATAATAATATCTCTCTCCCCCCTCTCTCTATATATGTATTATTTTTATATATTAGGATTATATTAGGAATAACCAGATAGGAAATATAATAGAAAAATGTCTTATTCACCATACCAACACAAATTACAAAATCTTTAATACATTTAAGTGTACACATTATACAGAAAAAAGTATGTAAGTCATTGTAACAGTTTGAATCTTTGAAAATCTTTAGGGAAAGTAGATTCCGATAAATGAATAGACACAAGATACTCCCAGATGGAAAGACTTAAATAGGTGTAGAGGATACTGCGATGTGCCACCAAGATTTCCCACTTCAAGACCAAGGCGCTCATTCCCTTCACTGCCGAGGGAGCTGGCCACCAATGGCTCTTACATGAGTTGTTCTCTAGGAGTCTCCCTCAACTGGAGAAAGCCACCTTTCCATGCCCAATGTCTTCCCTGTCTTGGAAGTTCACATCTAATGACTAGTCAATGGCACGGAGGAAGTTTCACAAAGACCTGGCCTCTTTGCCTCAATGTGGGTCAACAACAGAGTTTCATACCAGAACTCTCCTTGGGATCAGTTGCTTTGTCAAGACTTTATTACAGTTCACCTGCTTCCCTACCCAACCCCACTTCCTTTCCGCCCACATAGGTATTAATCTAGAGGGTATTCCCTAACAAATCTGTTTATGCAAATCTCCATCTGAGTCTACTTCCCAGAGAACTTGAAAAAGATAAGGATGTCAATTATATCCAAGTTAAATGTTACGTTTATGCCATTTTTCATCAGAGTAACAATGAAATAACTTTATTAAGTGAAAATAGTTAAGAAGTTGAGGAGGATGGGACGGGGTAGGAATAGCAAAATTGGGGCAAGCAGGAGGCGTGGTCGTTATGGTGCTGGATCCCACATAGTTGACTCTGCAGTTCAAGCCCCAGATCTGTCATTTTGGAATAACATGCCAGGCACATGTGTACATGCCCCAAATCCCAAGCAAAGAATGGAAGAGAAAGGATTGCAGCATGGTCATTCTCCTGT